TTTTCCCTTTGGCAAAATAGAATTTTAGACGTGAGAAACGTGAGTAGAAACACAACAAACAAAAAAAGAGGGACTCCAAGGGCAGCAACGCACTTGTAACTTTTGTGTTGCAGGTGTCCATGGGTGGCGGTAGTTGCTTACCATCAGGTGACCCATCTGCTTGTTTGGCCCCTTATGCCATTAAAAAAATAGCACATTAGCATCTTATAAGAGGAGGAGGGTCTAACAAGACACTGTTTAAAAATAATGACTTCTCTGAATGAGTTTTTTGACATAAAAAAAGCTCTCATCAACAGCCTTAAATAGTCCACTGCTGGACATAGGCCTCTCCTTAGACAGGAGGTTTTGGGCTACTATACTACTACTGGCCAGACGGGTTGTTACAGGGTTTGTGTTAAATTTTCCTTCACTTTGCAGTGCTGTTGTCTTGCGTATCTTTCTCGAGACCCACGGGATGAATAGAGGTGGTGACACTCCGTATTCTTACCGTCACCAACACGGACGGAAATATAACTCAAATGCACCGATAAAGGTATTTAGATCTGGTAATACCACAAATATACCTACGCAGCTATACTAAGTGGTAAATTCGAAAGAATTAAACGATACCGAACTTATAAATTTTCCCCAAACATGGGGTAAAATTCACAGTGTGTTATTACAAGAACCAACAGTAATAGCTTCTATAATCCAACCGATGTAGATTGTCACTCACACTTTCAACTTTATCTCCTAGATCTGGGCGTCCCATCTTAGTCGTATAACATTGGATGCTGGATTCACTTACATTTGAGTCCATGCAAAAAGGCATTCTATTTATTCTCAAGTAGAGTTTAGTATTGTATATTAATTATGAAAAGTGACCTATTTATTGTACCGATAGGTTGTTTTAAGACTTCGTTTGATTGACGTCGCTGATTTTTAATCGAATTCTAAATAAGGAGGAAACTATTCGGGACTCCTTTGACTGGCCTGTTGGTCTAGTGGTTAGTGACCCTGACTGCTAAGCCGGAGGTCGTGGGTTCGAATCCCACCCAGGACAAATATTGTGTTGATGGTTGTTTGGATCTGGGTGTAATATATCTATAATGAGTGTATGTATTTAGAAATATAAAAGTATGTTTATCAGTAGTCTGGTTATCATAGCACAGGCTCTGCCTAGTTTGGAATCAGACGCGATCTTGCCGCGTATGAGATGTGTGGATTACAGTATTCTCCATTCCCAAGTAGTTTTTTAGGTAGAGTTTTGGATTTTTTTATTCGGGAGTATATACTTCCGGTAGGGTTTCCAAGTTCTAGTTTGGTTCCATTCAAATTTGAAGAAAAATACCTCCCTGAGGATGTAAAAAGAAGAAATGATGAATAAAGTTTATTACAATTCAACATGTTGTAGGCACAATGAAGTCTGTTTTTACTTTTTTGAAAATTAATCTATACTTATAAAATTAATTACCCTGAACTTAAGGGGACTAATCCCACCCACACGCCCACCACTGTAACTCCTGTACACCAGGATCCACAGCAGTGACCCACGAACACACCGAGTTATGACACTCGGGAAGTCCCAGGAAGAAATTAAACTGTCTTGGAACCCGCAACGAAATTCATCAGAAGAAAATTGGAGGAGTTGGCAATATAATGAATCCACTTCCCTCCTTAGCAAAGCGGGAGACAAAATTAAGTAAAATAGCCATACACCCTTTTAAACAGGGAAGCACCAGGTCTACAAAATATTACGGGTCCTAGATGAGCTATATTTGATTTCTGTGACATGTATGGCAGAATCGCCTAAACGCACGAAATTCACCCTAGTTGAAATTGCCCTGACTGACTGATCAGCAGCATCAACGCAGAGACTAAACCACTTGGACTACAAACTTGAAATTTTATTAAGAAAGGATTTCCAGAAATTCTATTCTTAATGAGGTAAAATAAGGGATGAACGATTGTTTAGTTCATCATTTCGAAAGTTAGAAACACGAAATAAGATATAATTACAGCGAGCAAAGCCGCGGTTAATAGCGAGTTATTAAAATCGGTTGTATGTAATAATAATAATAACCTCACACATCTCCCACACGGCCGTCTAATCCCAAACTAGGCCTGCCTAGTTTGGGATTAGACGGTGCCTGTGCTATGGTAACCAGACTGCTGATAAACATACTTAATATTTCTAAATACATACATATTACGAGTATAGATAAATTATACCCAGACACAGAACAAACGATCGTGCTCATCATACAAATAATTGTTCTGGGTGGGAATCGAACCCACGACCTCCGGCTTAGCAGGACACCAGCACTGCAAATAGGAGGAAAACTTGACACAAACCCTATAGCAACCCGTCTGGTTAGCGTGGTATAGTGGGCCGGGGCCTCTTTTCTAAGGAGAGGCCTATGTCCAGCTGTGCACTATTAAAGGCTCTTGATCATGATGATGATGATGATGTATTTACCTATATATTTCAATTTTGTTATTTTCTACTTTGATTACTGATTACTACCATTATAGTCTTTACTCTCACCACTCCTTCTCTGGTCCATATCAAACGGAAATATTTTTTCATTAAACGTTATATTTAAAAATGAAACTAAATTACTAGGCGACCATAACTAAAAAGAGTTAGTTGCAAAACACTAAATTAACAACAAAACAAAAAAGTGATCTCAAAGTATTCTACAATCCTAATAACATCCGTCACGTGGTCAATACATTTTGTTTTTGTTTTTTTTTAATGGTATAAGCGAGCAAACGAGCAGATTTGGGCTCCAGTAACCTCACTCACTCAGTGAAAGGCAAGGAAAGAATTGCTTAATACCGGTTTTCTATGAGGCCGTGGTATCACTCCGGTCGAGCCGGCCCATTCGTGCCAAAGCATGGCTCTCCCACGGATAATAAAGAAATACGTGGAAAACATTATTTGTACATATTTTTAACCAGTTATAACGGACGTAAACATGTCATATTTTGAATACTTAATATACATATGAGAACATTTCTGTATTTTATACAAAAAGAAAGATATCTTTTAAACAACTTCAAATAAACCTACAGGGGTCCAGTGTATATTTTGACCTATCATAGTACAAATCTATACAATAATAGTTCAAGGAATACTTCATGAAATTGAAACAAGACATTCAAAACGATCTCTCTGTCTCTAGTACTATTTACTAGTTCCCTTAATAATACAAACTTTACCATTATGGTATAGGGGTCAAGCAAAGAGATAGGTCACCTGATGGTGACTACCGCCGTCCATTCACACATGCAACTAAAAAGACACAAATTCGGTAATATCACAAGGAATTGCTTAACAGCAATAGGCCAATTCTAGTTATAAAAGTTTCGTCACAATTCAATTCCGATCAACTTTCAATCCCTCAACTATCATAAACGGTATTTTCGTAGTAAAATAGTAAAGTATTACTAAGATTACCGATTTAATTTTCGGTTACAATACGATATGATCACATTACAGTCGACGTTTGATGTTTAATACTTTACTACGAAAATACCTTTTATAACAGTTGTGAAATCGAAAGTTGATCGGAACTGAATTGAGACCAAACTTTTATTACGAGAATTGGCCAGTTCAGTTCAGTTCACTATGAGGCTGTGGTATTATTCCTTTTGTGCCGAAGCATTGCTCTCCCACGGCCAACTACTACTATACAAAGTCTTTTTATATTGATTATGAAATCAATTTATAAAAATATAAAATTAATATAGTAAAAATATCAGAATTGGTATCGTTTACACTTTATAGTGAACATATCGCTCAAACACAAAAGTACTAGGCTACCATAACTTCCAAGAGTTATTTACAAAATGCTCAAATGACAGTCATATCGCTAATGAAGAACGCTCCCTGGAGTGACACGTTACTGTGCTAACTTCCGGACTACTACATGACTACTTTCAACCTCATGTCGTCCTAGTTAATGGAACGGTCAGATCGATATGACCGAAGGACTGATACGTAGACATAATAAGAGAATTTAGTAAGTAGAACACAATGCATAATGATCTACACAAAAGAAATCCAATTAAGATGTCATAGTGGCCATTTTGGATCTGTAATTACGTCGTTTAATGTCGGTTCCGTGAATTATTAATAGGCCTATTATCCTGTCCTTAAAGGAGCCACGATCAAAATATATTACTCGTAGTCCCATTGTCATTTTTTTACTTCTTTTTAGCATACAACAAAACGAATTAACTACTAAAGATTTTAATAGTTTCATTTCGACTGGTTTGGTGGTCGATAGGTTCGATTCCCACTCAAAGCACATAATTCTGTGATGCGCAAGATCATTTGTTCTATGTCTGGTGTATTCTATCTATATATAATATGAGTGTATGGATTTAGAAATATACAAGTATGTTTATCAGCAGTTTGGTCACCATAACACAGGCTCTGCTTAGTTTGGGATCAGACGTGTGTGTGACTCTTAATAATATTATATTATTTACTTTAAGTTGCTTCATTGGGATAGAATAGCTACTAGAATTTTGTGCTGAATCTAAGAAGATTTTGCCTTAATAATATTTACATTCTGCGATTTTGTGTTAACGTACAAGCCACTGTCATTCCATTAACACGATATTGAAATGCCATTGACATTGGTCAATATAACGATATTCTACTACTAACATAAATTTACAGTGTTAATAGAATGTCGATTTAGTAACAATGGCTCATCAATGGTGATATCAACAACATTGCCATATCTGGAAAACTAAATATATCATTTCCCTACAAATTTAAAATGTACCGTTTATTAAACTACTCGTATTACAAAGACGACATTTAATTTTGTATCAGTAGCAGTGGTGTTGAGTGACAAGTCATTGTGAGGCCATTGGTCTTACATAGTTAGTAGAATACGAAAGTGCAAACTATTCCGACGACATTCCATCGACAGTCTCTTGATACAATATTAAAATAGTAGAATTGAGGCCCTGTTGTAAAGAAAAGATAATCTTAGGATATTTCATTTATTCCCGATACATAAACAGACTGTAAACAAAACAGTAAAACTGAAGGACTTCAGTAATAAATCAGCGAATATGCTGGAGCAGTTGGCGATACCACAGCACAGGTGGCAAATGACTCCATCTAGACCTCGGTCTTCTGCCAAATATGTTAACATATAATCAGCGTTCTTGTTCACGTAGTTCTTCAATCTTGCCCATATATAGTGTAGAAACAACTCCAACAGAACTACGATTAGGAAAACCTGTAACATAGGTTCGGGTAAGTGTCTTCTCCCACCAATAATGTGACGATACGTCATACGATACGTCATCACGATGTTAAGTCCGTATTTTAAAAGGTGTTTCAGTCGTGAATCTAGTCTTAAAACTAATTTTAAGTAGATATTTTATTATTGAACGTCAATTAAATTTTAATTATTTAAAACGAGATTCACCGATCCATACTCAAGTGAGTAACAGCTTATTTTAGAACGATGCTTATATCGAAATCTTTACTCAGGTATAGATTTTGACAGCTGTGATCTTTGTTTACCTGAGACAAGCTGAAACTAGTCTCAAGCGGTGGTTTCTAGAGCATTTTAGAGGAAATGAATGTGTTTTACGATTAATTGTTTCTGAATAATTACGAAAGATTTACTTTACTTTATTTACGATAGAATGACTTGTACTACAACTAATTAATTAATTTACTTAATTAACTTAATTTACCTTAATTGATATTAAATTCACTGAAATTCACATTTTACACACACAATACTTATTTACATTAAAATCACCACAACATTTTGGTTTATGTTAAAAGTATAATATTATTCTAATAATATAAATTTTTGAAATATAAAAATAAAAACATTGTTTCAACATGACAAGTGTTGATAAATAACTTGAACGTTCCCTTATAGCTTATATCTAGTCATTTTTATTTTAATATTTATTATATTTAAATTTCGACGAAAAACAAGCTTGTTGATATGTTTACATTGCTACACTAGACAAAAAACTAAAACCGATACTTTTAAATACGGGCCTTTGAGTGAGAGAGGGAGCGTATTACATAAATTAACATCATAAAATGAGAATGAAAAAATTAGTTTAATAAACGTGGGAAAGTCATGCTTTGTCACAAATTTTACAGTTCGATATCTATGTCTATGCCCTTTCCCAGGACGCAAACTAGCTCTATTTCAAATTTCATCTAAATCAGTTCAGTGGTTTAAGCGTGAACAACAGTCAGACAGACAGACAGACATACTTTCGCATTTATAATATTAGTATGGATACATATAAAAACATTTTTAATTACATTTAAAGTATAAAAATAGGTTCTCATCCGTATCGGGTACAGGGACCAAGATATCTGTGATTAGAAGTCCAGATACAGAAACCTTCTCACAAAACTTGCCGTATCGAGAAGAACTGCTTATTTTTATTAAAAATAATAATACTCTACTATATCTTAAATACAAACAATCATACAGATCATGTTATTGTATACTTATATATAACATAAATAATAATAGACCTCACCTCCAACACGAAGCATAGTTTAGGCCTTTTACACCACAGCACATATGGAAGCAACTCAACCCTCCGAAGTACTAGACATAGGCACAATAAAATTACCAGATTTGAGGTCAAATATTTATTGATCAGGATACCAGCTGAAACAAGGATTACCTTTTATTTGTATATGGCGAACAAGTCTATCAACTGTTCAAAAACTATCTACCCACTCATGGGGAACAGGTACGATATAAAAATAACTCAGTATAATAGAGATCTTTAATTATTTATCATCGTTGCTTTTGATCGAATAAAGGGAGTTGACGGAGACCAACCCCCTGATTCTAGGGTATAGGACTCAAAGGGCGGGGATAGTCACTTAAGATCACATATAAAAATAAAATACCAGGCGTATAGAAAATGAAATAGATGATGAAAAAATGCTACTTTCACGCGAGCAAACTTCCGTATAAACTCTAGTTACTTCTAAGTTTGACGATGAAACCATGTCAAAGGAAATGAAGGCAAACAATCCATGGACAGTCAAAGTAATTACTTAATTGACTCGAAGCTTGCAGCTGTTGTAATTAGGGGTAGATAAATACGAGGAGCAGGAAAACCGTTAATTTAGGTCATCTGAGTATGTGGAGATCTTAAGGCCAATTGAGGCACATTAAAATTCAAACCCATAAGTCCGCTTAATGCGCTTCAATACAGAATTCTTATTTTCTCAATGACTGAATTCCCTTGAAACCGGATTAAGAATACGGAGTGTCACCACCCTTATTGACCCCGTGTGTGTCGTACGAGCCGATTAAGAGAGCAAACTAAGCAGGAAAACAGCACTGCAAAGAGAAGAAAAACTTGAAACAAACCCTATACCAACCAATCTGGCCAGCGTGGTATAGTAGGGCAAAATCTGCTTTCTAAGAAGAGGTCTATATCCAGCAGTGTACTATTAAAGGTTGTTGGTGATGATGAAACCTTAGAAGAATAATATAAGACCAATGCAGAAACGAAACGACACAATCTAACAAATCGGTATTCGAAAAATTAAAGGTTACTAACTGTACCGCGCATGCATTGTAATGCCATGTAAAGTATAATGAATACGTATTTTTATAGTACCAAAGTTTTATCAAAATCTCAAAAATTATCGGCGGTTAGGCTCTGCGGTAATGAAACAGTCAGTCAGTTTGTGTATGATTAACTGAGCTGACTTGTAAATCAATGCCATCGTGTTTATTTTACTAAACTGAAATTATGGCTTATGTATTTTTCGAAGCCATCTAGATATCCATCTGTCCTCTCTCCTGGATTATAATTATGGTAATTAATAATGATTTCTACCAGTTATATGCTTTTAGTATATATCATGGGTCTTTCGCCTAACTAGAAACGCTTAATCCCATGTCCTGGAAATTCAAATAATAATAAAATCATAATATTTTCACTCATCTCACACAGCACACGACCGTAATGGCGTACTAAGCATGCCATTTAAGTTCTGTCGTTTCCATATTTCCCGGCAATTTTGAATTTGGAACTGTTCTATATTCGAATGTTTAAATTTTGAATCTCAAAACAGTTGAAAGTATTAGGATTAATGCTATTGTTTAGTCACAGCGTCGATTGGAATCTGTCAGGTTACGTACGAAAATGAATCTTTCTAAGGAAAATGTTCGTGCAATAATTTTCTACAACTTTAGAAGAGGCCTGACACGGCTTCAGTGTTTTGAAGAGCTAACATCTGTGTTCAGTGATGAAGCCCCATCCGCCTTCACTGAAGATAACATCATTGCTGTGAGACAACTAATTCTCGAAGATCGTCATGTGACGTATCGAGAGATAGAAGCTCTATTAGGCATCTCAGGAACAACCATTCAGAAAATCTTGCATGAAGCGCTTGGTGTGAGATAGCTAGTTTGCCGTTGGATACCGGATCTGCTTTCCGACGATCACAAGGCGGCCCGCGTCAGATGGTGTAAGAAAACTCTGCAAAGGTTCAACCGAGGAGAGTCAAATCACGTCTACGACATCATCAGTGGTGACGAATCTTGGATCTATGCCTACGAACCGGATTCCAAACAACAATCTGCAATCTGGGTCTTTCAAGACGAGCCTAATCCGACTAAAGTTGTTCGTTCTCGAAGCGCTTCAAAGAAGATGGTGGCCATGTTGCGACTATTGCACTTGAAGATCGTAGAACGGTTAACGCAGAGTGGTACACCACAAATCATCGCCGAACTTCGAAAATCTAACTCAAAACGACGCATCATCCTGCACCACGACAACGCAAGCTCACACAGCGCTCGTCAAACGATTGAGTATTTGAAGCAGGAAGAAGTAGAAATTCTTGACCATCCTCCATACAGTCCTGACCTAAGCCCTAACGATTTCTTTACATTTCCTAAAATTAAGAAGTCTTCGTGGTCAAAGGTTCCAGTCCGGTGAAGAACCGTGTGGTGACGGATTAAGAATACAGAGTGTTACCACCCCTATTCATCCCGTGGGTGTTGTAAGAGTCAACTAAGGGAAAAACTACGCAGAACAACAACACTGCAGAGAGAAGGAAAACTTGACACAAACCCTATACCAACCCGTCTGGCCAGCGTGGTATAGTAGGCCAAAACCTCCTTTCTAAGGAGAGGCTTATGTACAGCAGTGGACTATCAAATGCTGTTGATGAAGAAGCAGTCGACGCTTTCAAGTCAGCCATTTTGAACACCCCCACTTTAGAGTGGAATAAATGTTATAATAACTGGTTTGAGCGAATGAAAAAGTGTATTAAGCTACGTGGTGAATACTTTGAAAAACAATAAAAAGTACTAAAAGGTTCTAGTTGTGTTTTTTTCTTCAAACGACAAAACTTAAAAGCCATGCTCGTAGCAATCAGGGTTCGACCCGGAGATACGGATACGGACATCTATATCCCGGTTAGTTCGAGTCCTAAAAAGTCCGACAACAACGACAACAACAACAAGTTTGGGTTGTGGAGTTCTCATGGCAGTTGCTCCACGTAAAAAATCGAAGTTCAGCCATGTCGTGGTAGACCGCCGTCGTAGAAGCCAACTCCCACCAAGTTTGGAAAAAGACTTGGAGGATGATGATATGATGAAAAGTAGTAAAGTGATAGTCCTATAATGCCAATTTGTACTTTTTTACTAGCTATCTCCCGCGGCTCCGCCCGCGTTTTATGTCGGTTATCGCGGTAAAGTATTTTTTAAATCGGTTTAATTGTTTAGGCGTGACGGTTGGGTATATATACTATATTTTAATTTCGATGGAAATTATGCATAATAAATTTTTTTAATAAGACATTAATGATAATTTGATACTCACGGTTGAAAAATATGTGTACTTCAGAGACAATTAAAGAATATGCCAACAAAAGTGTAACTATCTTGGTCATAAGATTATTATAACTAAATATATTAAAATATTCATTACAAAAAGTATTAAATTCTCACATGTGCACAATAAACATGCAATGGCGGTTCTAGAATGTGTCAGAATGACAGACACTGAGTTCGTCATAGACTAAAGACAACCATTTTATTTATAATATTGTATACATCGACCTAACAAAAGAGGTAACAAATGAAACTAAGGGAGCATCCATCCTGGCCCTCTTGTGTGAGATTTCGTCCGGACATCCCAGAATGTAAATGCTTATATAACTTTTCCATTTTTTTATTTCATTTCGTTTCGTTTCACTTCACTTCACTTTACTCTACTTCACTTCATTTTAATTATTTTCAAAGGCACTTTCTAACAATCTACCTTAGGGTGATATGGAATTATTGACTAGGTGCACTAGATGTTTTTTATTTATTTGGGATATTAAACAATAGTATAATACACAATGTTATAATAAAATGGTGCATGCTGCGTGATTACAATATTAATAATAAAAAAATCAAATAATTTGTTACAGATATACCTAATTTATAATTTAGGTATATTTATTGTTATTTTTATTGTGGAAATATAACTTATAAAAAAATGTAGACATACGACATATGTCTAAATTAGACATCAATTAAAATAATAATGGAAATTCGGAACCCGACAGCAGTCATATCAGTCAATGATTCTATTACACATTTTTTTATATTTGATTGCTAAATGCATGAAGATATCTGTACTGTTAGATATTGTAATTGTCTACAAGCCGTCGTAGAGGTGTTCTTAAGCCTGCGTTTGTTTTAGGAACATAATAAGGCGTAATCGCCAAGAGACGATGTGAGCGAACCTGCCTTCGCATGACTGTTCTGGGGACGATGTAACATAATCTATTTGATAATTCCAGACAGTCATACTGGTTATAAACAATGTCATGTAAGAACATAGTTCTAAGAAGGAGTCTCATGCTTACCAAGGTCGACCAATTGTATTTCAGGAGCAGATAATCATATGCCTGATAGCCGTAGCAACATCTGTAATGAAGCGTCCGCAAGAACTTTTTTTTTACATTTTCTAATGCCTCGATGTATTTATTGTAAAACGGATTCCAGATCAATGTAGCAAACTCGAGACAAGATCTAACTAGTCTTATATAAAAGTATCTACAAGTATTTGGGTTTTTGTCAGATGTTAATGTTTTTAAAAGAAAGATAAAATAATTAAGCAGTTGGACAAACACAATGGGACAAATATACATACATACATACGTAATAAATTCATACTCATACATATACACTGATAATGACCTTTTGTCTTGAATGATAGGGGACTGGTTGCTGTCTTGATTTCCAAAGGGAGAATGTTACAGAAGAAGACAGATTGCATTAGAAACGAGAAGTTTACACGGACAACGGAGGATTCTAATGTGATTAGAACATAGAAATTGGTATGAACATATCAGGTTTGAAGAAGAAATAGGAGAGTTAAGAATGAAAAGAGGGTGGTGAGGACATCTGACAGCGCTGACGAATCGTGAGCCAGTTGTTTTTCTGCATCCTTATGTCCGGAGTGAAATAACGGCTTTGTAGATACTAGTAGTTAAGCTAATTATATAGTTTTTATTAATACAGTAGTTAAGCTAATTATTTACTTAAGTTATATTTCCAAACTGCGTGTTGCTATTCATTTATTAGAAAAAACCTGTTTAAAAATCAACTTATCTTTATGTTTACTACGCCTGCACAAATTGTTAGAGCAATTTTACTTTCTTCAATTTATTGCACAACGTTTTTACTGAGGTACAATTAGCGACAAAATCTACTAAAGAATAACGGTTGTAGAAATATTTCGAAGAACACACATTATAAGCAATATATTTTTATTTACCTTGAAAAAGAAACTAGGCACACTTTTTAATATGGTAATTAGACTAATGAAAAATTATTTAGGTAGTATTAGTATAATATTTATTTGTAATCGAGCTCATCTCACAATTATTTGATGTGTCTGCAAATAAAACATTTGAATTTTGCATAACAAAGTGCAAATCTGTATGCAAATGAAAGTATATATGTAGTCCTGGTCGTAAACCTATGGCCAGGACTACATACCTATATACTTTTTCAATAGTCTGAGTAGAGAGTGCTACCTACAGTCCATCAAATGTAAGAAGTACTGTTTGACGATTCATACTTTATTTTACTTTACATACGAAACGGTGAGGAGATCGATCAAAATACTACGCTTTCGCTTCGCATCCGTGCTTTAAACTCGTATGCATACAGCAAAATTTTCACCATCATCACCTGGATAGTTGGCGTTCCACTACTGTGCGCTTTTCGAGACACTTTTTTCCCCCACAAACAATCTGTGGAACGGTTTATCGCCTGCGGTATTTCCGGACCGATACGACCTTCAAACCTTCAAGAAAAGAGAGTACTTCGTCCTAAAAGGCCGTCAATGCATTTGTTACTCCTGAGTTGCAAACGTTCATGGGCGGCGATGGTCACTTTCCATCAGGTGACCCGTCTACTCGTCTGCCTCTCTAACATAAAAAAGAAACAATTAATTAAATTGTTCTCTGAGACTACTGTCTATTATAACGACAACACCTCTTGTCATTGGCGTTTAAGAAGTATTGAAAGAAAAAGACTTAGGAGGTTTCACCATCTCATTCACAGGCTGGAGATAATCCACCGTTATACCCGTCAAGACGTTTTATGTCGTATTACCCATGGACACGGGTAACTCAAGAGTCAAAAGTGCATTGAGGTGCAAGAGGTGGTGAGCTAACCTCACTCACTAAAACAAAGAACTGCTTAACACCGGATTTCTGTAAGGCCGTGGTATAACTTCGGTCGAGGTGGTCCCATTTGTGCCGTAGCATGGTTCTCCCACGCTAAAGTTTTGCGTGATATGTAGCCTGCCCACTGCAATACAACTTGAACTACATCAGTAATCCTAATTCGCCTTATCTCTCATTTCTGTATCGATCCTCTGAGAGTCCTTCACAGCTCGTTAAGCGACTCGGTGTCTGTCGAGCGAGAGATCATGTCAGGAGGTTTACTTACACACGCTCCATGACCAGAAAACCCTAAGTAAATGTTCCTAAAATATTAAACATACATTTTACTTATACCAATAATGACTGGATGACGTAACGGTGTATACGTATGTGTAATAAATGCTTAGTTTAAAAAAACGCTTTTGTATTATTTTTTATTATTATTTGAAAAAAAAACTAGTTTTTGGTTCGGCCAGCTACAAAATTGTGTTTTTATTGTTTTTTTAAGGAAGAGATAGCAGGTGGGAAAGTGTCGTCAAGTGACGGGGAAGTCACCTGATGGAAAGTGACTATCGCCGCCCACGAACGCCTGCAAATTAAAAGTCACAAGCGTATTGCCAGCCTTTTAGCAAGGACGCTCTTTTCTGGAAGGTTTGAAGGTCGTATCGGTGCGGAAGTAACCCTGATAACTTGTGTCGGTAAAATGGGAAGGCAATGGCTATGGTAGGAAAGAGATATTGCTTATAAGGATAACAATAATAATAATTAAAAAAACTCCCACATCTCACACGTGGCTGTCTGATCCCAAACCAAGGCAGAGCCTGTGCTTTGATGACCAGACTGCTGATAAACATACTTATATATTTCTAAATACACACATATCATAGATAAATTACACCCAGACACAGAACAAATAACCGTGCTCATCACACAACTATTTGTCCTGTATAGGAATCGAACCTGTAGCAGTCAGGGATAGGGTAGGGAGAGTAAGTAAAGCTAGATAACCGACTGTTTCCTGGAAGTCTGAGCAAATACAAATTGTTAAATAATCAAATACAATACGATAAGTTTATGATTTGATTAAAAAGTTTATGATTCGTGTAAATTTATTAAATTAACCTTAACACTGCACTTACGGCGTAGTGGTTGAAACGTTCGCCACGCCGCTTTCTAAAGCGTTGTTGTGGGTTTGATCCCCAACACTTGAACAACACTTTGTGTGATATACATCTGGGTGTTCATTGTGACCGCTTCATGTATGTTTGTAAAGTGACAACTCCCGGATTAGGAATATTATTAAAAATGTGAGAATCTTTAAAAAAAACTCCTACTATTCACTATTGTAATACATAATACGAATTAACTCAATAGGACCAGCTTCCCACTCTGCCAGCACTCAGGTAAACGTCCTGACGCAAAGTTAGCTTCGAACACCTCCCTGAGGCGGTCTGCCATGTGTTTGAGGGCTAGTGCCAGCACTCAGGCAGATATCCCGTCTGGCCCAGGGGCGGTCTTCTTGGAACGGATCCGTAGAAAAGCCACCCCTACTTCTGAATCCCGGACGGACGGAACATCATCCACGTTCTCCCCGTCGTCTTCGGCCAAGGAAGCCATTGATGGGGCTGTGTGCTCTGCTAACCGCTAACAACATGTAACATTTCCAATTATTAACAAAAACTTAATCACAGTATTACCACAGTACTGCATTACACAAAATCAGAGATTTACATTGCCTACCTTTATGACACAGATCATAAAATTCAAACATAAAAAAAGTAGTTAGAAAATTCCATTACCACAAGAAATCAAAACCTAGAATAAAAAATAAAAAAACATTAACATGAATGAAAATGAAAAACAATAACTATATATTATTAATTTTTTTCATAACTTTATTTTTATACAACTTGGGACATGCTGAGAGTGAATCTGATAGATCATTAATTTTATTAGAAAGAAATATGGATCCTCTTAATAGTGAATATGAGATAATGAATAAACAATCGTTTGAAGAGAAATCGAGTTACGCTTTACGTAGTTTGGATGTTCAAGAGAATAATAAAGAACACTATGACGATGATAATGACCTAAAAGCTATTTTGGAAGACAGGTACAAGTTTAGAAATGATGAAACTTCTACGAGATTCAGGATCGCAGATGATACGAGAACATTTCCAGGTTTGTGATTTATTTGTATTAAATATAGTAAATTATTATATAAAGTTTTTCTATAGGGGCCAACTAGCAGACGAGTCACCTGATGGAAAGGAGTCACAGGTGCGTCACAGCCTTTGAGATCGGAGTATGCTCTTTTCTTGAAGATTTAAAAGTCGTATCGGTGATATTGTGAGAATCCTTTTAATAATTCGTATCATGAACTTATTCTTGGTTCTTTTCCCGAACACACTCAGAGAAAGACTATCGCGTATTGCACGCGGTATTCAAGAGGAGCGACAGAGCTTATTTCTGGAATCAAAGTACTCGAATAGAGTAAGGAAAAGGTGTAGATGTCCTGACGCAGCCGATTAGGTAACCATTGCAGTTTCAGCCGCAATTCTTAAACGTGATTAAACTTTTTTATGACAATATGAAACGGATACATAGGTTTTATAACAGCTCTAGGCTACTCTAGAGTTGTTCGGTAGCATTGAGAGAAGAGTCATCAGCATAGTCAAGAGGGAGTAGGGAATGAGAAAGAAAGACTGTCATAAAAGGAAGAGAATTTTAAATGTGATAAATTATTCCAAATACCCTTCTGCTCACCTTTGTTGTATATGTGTGGTTCATGTCTAGTTGCAGTCCTTAAAAACTTCGAGATTTTGGACTTGTATTGAATATGGTCTACCAGTTTTGTTATAGGAGACTGGAGGTTGTGAAGTGAAGGTAAATACTGCCACCAATAATAAAAGCATGAGATTTAGCGGAATTCACGCATGCAGAGTAGAAGTAAATGGGATAAATCATTCGGACTGCTTAGTCCGAAGGATTTTTCCCTGTACTTTTATTCAGCAGATTATTATTAATGACAATGACAGTTTTTCTGACTTTATTAGCCTTAAAATGTTGGTGTAGCTGTAAATTGTTTACATAAAGATAATAACGAAAAGAAATGAACTCAAAAATGTATGTCCTCCTGTATGTTCTTTACCTACAACTCTGTTTCTGAGATATCCATTTCGTTTTGTTTTGTTTCGTTTTCGATTTGCGAACCTAAATTGATGGAGTAGAAGCTAGCTGTAAACTAAAACTTAATTGTGCGGCACATCACGGATTCTCTTATCATTATTATAAAATTGCCCGTTCAATAAATGAACCATTTGCGATAGACAGTCTTCTTAAGGTATGTCGTGCCCATATCAGAGCCAAAACCTTCTACCCCTAGTTCTGCGGTGAAGGTACTCAAAGGGCGGCACAGACCCAATAATTTGTGGATCACATAAAGTGTTGTCCCATATCCCACCACCGCTACACCATACGTGCAGTCTTATGTAATTATGTTGCTTCTTCAGTGTTTCCTGAAAATAACGACGAACGTCATATTGCGTGGGCCTTCCGATCATACGCTGTCCGGCGCATCGTGGGAGGCATGGAGACCAGTATCAGCATGTACCCTTATAATGTGGCGATATCCAGGAACGGCAAGCATTGGTGTGGGGGCTCCATCATCGATGAGCAGTGGGTGCTTACTGCTGGACACTGCCTGGAATCGTAAGTCTTTTAAAGTTTTTCTGTTATACGACTGTTTGGAGTAAGTCTTTATCCACTTTCTAACTGTATACTTTGTAATTTATTTCTTTCTATTAAGAGTTTTTAGTTAATGTGTTATTGTAGATTTATCCTTTTTATTGCATTACTGCTCACTTGATTTTTGATCATTAATTTTGGCAGAGCATTTGATGGTGATAAAAGAAAATTGCAGCCCTTTATTATCAGGGCTGGTAGTTCCTTTCACAACAGAGGTGGATATCAAGCAAGAGTAAATAAGGTACTGTTCTCAACTAAAAATCATATTTTTCTTACTTGTTTTATAAAGATAGGGCAGAACGTAAGCTTTCAGATCAGAAGGCTAAGAATGAAGCAGACCCCTTGAACACCGCTTTGCGGTTGCGCTTGGGCTGTTAGCCCTGTTAAAGATTTGTGGTCATCCCGCTTACTGACGTATTTAGTATAAAATAATATCCATACAAAATACACACATGTCTGTCATATCACGTGTTCGATAACCAGACACGACGGTGGTGAAGTAACTTGATTTAAATAATATGAACAAAATTTAACGGTCTCACGGTTCACATCTGTGAACCATCAAAATTATTTTGTGGAAATAATGAGTTTTACATCACTTTGATAATCATAGGCCCAAGTGTGAGTTTATTCCACATCGACTCGATCGTCACGGTGACCGGGTTCGGCGCTGCTATTGGCCCGCACTGAAACCTCACCAATCTCAACGCCGAACGCGCTCGCTGTCGAGAGCGAATTGATGCGATGTTCAATGCACTAGGCCCTCAGCGCGAGAGAGTCCCAGAGTTAATTGCGCATGGCGACGCATCGCCACAGCGTATTTCATTCAACAACAGCCTTTACTAGTAGACTGCTGGACATAGACGTCTCCTTAGAAAGGAGGCTTTGGCCTACTATACCACGCTGGCCCGACGGGTTGGTATACGGTTTGTTTCAAGCTTTCCTTCTCTTTGCAGTACTGTTGTTTTGAGTAGTTAACTCCCTTAGTCGGCTCTTGCGACACCCACGGGATGAATAGGGGTGGTAGCACTCTGTATTCTTAATCCGTCACCATACTAATAATTGCATTACATACATATTACATATATTATCACAGTGCGTGGAGACACATGACGTGGCGACGATGACTTGACATCAAAATGTGTAACAAATGTTACAAGAGGTTTCAATATTTGTTCTTCTATTGTAATTCTGCCTGCTATCCTTAGTTTTCTCTTTGACAGACAGTAAACAATCTCTTTTCATTTCAGGTATTTTTTCCCCACGAGTACACACCTGGAAATGCAGACTTCGACTACTCACTGCTGCGCTTAGATCGACCAATGCCTATCGGACGGAATATAGCCGTGTTGAATTTACCGTCAAAAGATTATATGATAAAGGAGAATGATATCCTCATAGTGACGGGCTGGGGGAGCACGGATGTAAGTTGTGGAATCATTCTTTTCTTTTTTTAAAAAAAAGACAACTCCCGCATTAGGAATATATCCTGTGTCGCGGGGGACTTTACAAACATACATGAAACGGACACAAAGAACACCCAGACTCAGAACAACAATTTGTGGATCACACAAAGTGTCGTCCCATGTGGGGTTTGAACCCACAACACTCGGCGCAGTAGGAAGCGGCGTGGCGACCGCTTAAACCACTACGCCATCTGTGCAGTCAATTGATGATGCCATGTACAGATTAATGATGAAGATGCCTTAAAAAATGATTAAAACCACCTTAGTTTTGCACTATATCTGCAATTGTTTAATTTAATATTGGTGATACAGTGGTAGCGTATGCGACTGCTGGACTGAGGTTTCTGGTTCGATTCCCGAGTCGGACAAATTTTTTGTATGATTTGCAAATATTTGTTCGGAGTTTGGGTCTTTTCCATGTGTAATTAGGTATGTATTTACAAAAAAGTATAAAAGTATTCTATCAGTTAATCTAGCTTTCATAGTACAAGCTCTGCTTAGTTTGAAACTAGGTGGCGTTGTGTCAGATGTCTGAAAATATAATTGTATAAGTAATTACATAATATACAGGTTCATACGTAATACATACAAACAGTCACGACAGTAGGCAGTAGCAGATACCCTATATTCCCACTTAAAGAATAGAGGGCCAACCTCCCACCGTCAATCAGGCTCTTTTAGAAACTAGACGTAAAGATTGGGAGTAGGTATAATCATAATAAAATTGGATAATAAGGGAATACAAACTAACTAAATTAAACTATATAGGTAACTTTAGAAAATAGTGATCAAGCCGGGTGATGGATGGTGGAACTCTGTTTTAGTCTTCAGCTACTTTCGACATTTCACAGCGTAATCTTTAGTTTTACTAAACTGTAATTCACCTAAAGGTGAAGCACACACTCACTTATTATACATTCGGAAGCTGAAGATAGAAAAAAAGAACCGGTCAGGTACGAGTCGAACTCGTGCGCCGAGGGTTCCGTACCTACCCAGGTTAAATCGAAATTTGCCTATGTCTTTTTCTCATGTTGACTCAGGATCTTGATTTTTATACACCTAATAGGGACTATAGACTGAGGTCTATAGTCTATCTAGGTATCTCAGATAAATGTCAACGTTCTAGGTCTACCCGTCCCTGAGAAAATCGGTTATAACACACTCACAAACCGACAGACGGACAAGAAAGTGATCTTATAAGAGTTCTTTTTTACCTTTTGAGGTACGGAACCCTAAAAACTAATTACTTTCTTTCAAAAGTTATAAAACCATTATGATTGTTTGTTAGGAATCCGGTTACGGCCACATCCCGGAGCGTATCCGTTTCGTACCCGTCCCAGTGATGACTAAAGAGGACTGTCAGAAGTCTTACAGGTTCTACATCACACAGAGGATGTTGTGCGCTGGTTACGCTACAGGGGGAAAGGATGCTTGCAATGTAAGTTATTACACGCTTTATATTAGCTTCACTTGTATGTTTGTTTATAACCGACTCCTTTGGGCGTGATTTTGACTGACTTTAAACGGTCAGAATTCGTTCAAACTTTGTAGACATATCGAGGACCGATGACAATACAATAATTTAAAAAAAAAAAGCGTTGGGTGCCTGTTGTCAATAGTAAAAAGCACCCCACGCTTTTTTTCAAATTTATTTTTAAAACCAACAAACAGACCGCTCACTTGACTGAGTGATTACCACCGCATATGGTCACCCAAGAGTCACAAGGCCTTTGAAGTGGAAGTACGCTCTTGTCTTAAAGGTTTGTCTTAAAGGCGAATATCGCAGGCGATAAACTGTTCCACAGATTGTTTGCGATAGTTTCATAATTTCTTGAAAAATGCACAGTGGTACAGTGCCAATTGCCAATTATTGATTAAGATGCATAGTGCCAAGTCGAGTGGTTCGAACCTCAGAAATCGTGAGTTTAACTCCTTCTTTTTTTAAAAGACAACTCCCGCATTAGTAATATATCCTGTGTACTTTTAAAAACATAGGTACATAAAACGGACACAAAGAATACTCAGAACAACAATTTTTGGATTACACAAAGTGTCGTCCCGTGTGGGGATCGAACGCACAACACTCAGCCTAGTAGTAAGCGGTGTGACGACCGCTTAAAGCACTACGCCATCCGTGCAGTCAAACTATAAACTCTTAAACAGGATAAGATTTAAACTCGCACTCGAGTTCGTGTCAATATTTTTATTGAAAAATACATCCATTTTTTGCAATCGTCTGGCTTATCTTGATTTGTATTTGGTTTCGAAAAGTTTTTTTTATGATAAAAGGGGTAATCGAGCAGGCGGGCCACCTCATGGTAAATGACTGTTTCGCCCATGAACACATGTCGAGCTTAAGAGACACAATAGCGTTGCCGACCTTCTCCTTCCATCATGAGGGAGGTAGGTTGAGCTTAAAAAGCAATGAATGGCCTAACACCGATTTTCTGTGAGATCGTAGTATCACTTCAGTCCAGACGGCCCATCTGTGGCCCAGCATGGCTCTCACACGACATACAGGTACTCCCACGATATGACATGACATATATATAGATACTAGGGCAGGGACGTCAACTAACCATGTGTAGATACTGGAATACTCTATGATTAATAATTAATTTTATCTTACTAACAATCGTGATAATCAAATACGACTTCAGCATGATTCAGGCGGACCAGCAGTCCGAGATGGTGTTCTTCTTGGCATTGTCTCTTTTGGCGGCAAGCAATGCGGAGATCCCCGCTCACCTGGAGTCTACAGCCGAGTTTCGCAGGCTACCGAGTGGGTGGAAGAAACTATCACTAAAAATGAAGCTAAGACAGTACCCGAGCTTCTGCCAAAGATACAGAAGGCGAGGCAGAGAGAGAAGGAGTTGCAGAAGTAAGTGTGATTTAGGCAGGTCATAAACAGTACTAACTAGTGTATAAGTACCTTCAACATTCAGGAGGATTACCAAGGTTTGGACAACAGGACACGATTAGATAATTTACTTTGATGAGTTTAATTCGTAAATTAAAAATAAATCATAAATATAGAACAAAACTAATCTTGCTTAAAATTTATGTTTTTAAGGCGTTTTGGGCACTGATTAAAACTTATTTTGAATCCCATAAACAATAAATTATAACAGTTAAATCAACTCCTTGGACCAAACAAATTGTTTGATCGAACTGCTATTCAGATAAATTAAAATTCAATATTTACTCAATGACTTTTAATTTATTAACGCAAAGGAATTAACTTAGACCCTGTAAGTACGTCTGTGAAGTGTGTGCGAACCCTATCGATATGATATCGTCAGCCAATGAAATAAAAGTATTTACTACCTACTTTATACATTTATAAAATTTCAGATTCAAAGCCCGAGTAGAGGACAAGAAGAATAAAATCAAACACTGGCTCCGGGAGACGCTAAAGTCATCGACATTCATAGAACTAGCCAAGAATAAACTAAGAGAAGCAGGCTTTCATACAAGACGAACCTTGAACAACGAAGAACCAAGCAGCGGTCTCGATGACAGGGCTATGGATGAGATAAACCTGACCAATATGATTAATGACAGGATCATTGAAGATGAAGAAGGGACTGAGTCTGAAAAGTTGCTGAGAACGCTGGCGCTGCATGAAGTCATGTTAAACGATGGTAGCAGCGAGGACGCTGTTCCAAAGGCCGGAGGTGATAGCAGCGATAGTATAGAAAGTTTTATTGCTTACATTAGCGGCACGTAATTAATTATAAATTATATAAATGCACATTTCTGTAGCTCCTTTCTTTCTTAAAAGACAACTCCCGCACTAGGAATATATCCTGTGTCGCAGGGGACTTAACATTCATGAAACGGACACAGAGAACAACAACAACAACTTTGTGTGATCTGCAAATTGTTGTTCTAAGTTCCAGACTCAGAACAACAATTTGTATATCACACAAAGTGTTGTCTCATGTGGGGATCGAACCCACAACACTCAGCGTAGTAGTAAGCGGCATGGCGACTTTTTAAACCACTAGGCCATCCGTGCAGTCGAACTATAAAGTCCTAATCAGGATAGGAGTTAAACTCGCACTCGAGTTCGTGTCAATATTTTTATAGAAAAATACATCAATTTTTTGCAATCGTCTGGGTTATTTGATTTGTACTTCGTTTCGAAAAGTAAAAAAGTAAGTAAAAAATAGGAAGCGGCGCGGTGACCGCTTAAGGCGAGGTTGCAGCGATTTTGCACTTTTTTGAAGAGAAATAGCTACCCTAATATGCATTTATTGTGCATGAAACTAAATATTTAAAAAAAATTAAACATATAATCTAGAGATCTGTAAAGATGGAAACATGATTTATTGGATTTGGCTCGATAAAAAAAAATCACAAACATAGCACTAACTCACGATTTCAAATAGAAATTGTTGTAAAATGCCACCATGGATTCACGTAAAAATTATACCAAAAAATAGAGCTTATTTTATTTTAGGGATTTGTAAGGATACATTTTCACATAGTTGTACTTATAAAAAAAGGAACCAAAAAATATGTTTTTGCGCTTGCTTACGGCGGCGAAGTTCGCCTGTCAGAGCTCGCTGAGCCTTGTTTGAGGTCGGACGCACGTCATTTTGCTCCGTGAAATTCCCCCTCGCAAATACGTAAAATTCGTTTTCACAGAGGTTCAACAGAATACTTATAAGTTAATTTTAATATAATTATTCCTTCTGCTTTATTAGTAAATTATTTCCGTCTGCAATGTTTATAAAACACAAAAATAGTAAAATTTTACATACACATCAGTTTCACTGCGCCAGAGTCTAAAAAAATCAGTATGCATGTGAGTACAGTAAACAAACAGTATTCATTGGTAGTATAGAAAGAAGGTAATCAGAAAATGTTATTAGAAATCTCTAATTTTGGTATAGTCAGGCACATTTAAATTATGTGGAATTCAACAGTAATATAAGTTTATTTATTGTTATTTTGCAGCACTTCGATAAGACAAAGCATATTCACAGGCGTGGTTGAGACCCTACAGTAATCAATTTCTATTGATCATAATACTACGTTAGTTTTTGTATTTATATAAATGGAATATCTATTGTTTTTTAGTTTTGTCATGCCAATCACACGCGTGGCATGCCAATCCGAAACATACATATTTTTGACCTCAGGAAAAGAAAATAAAGCATCACCAGGCTCTTTAACATACGCTTAAATTCCGAGTGTATCTGACACTAATATTATACAGTACACTAATTTTTGAAATTATCTTTGAAATAGAAAGCGAAATATTAATTATTTTATATATGAAATTGATAGAACCAATTTAAGTATGTTGTTAAATAAGGTCTCTTAAGACAGCACTGTAACGAAACGCATTATTGTAAGCTAACTATGCTGTGCGAATAGGAAAGCCCGCTTGCCTATTGCGCTTTGACATGACTGATATAAAACTTAAGAAAGTTTAGAATAAAACCTCCACCTCAATCATCATCTTTTATTAAAGTTATGTAAATTATTCAACTTATGTTGTGTGTATTATTAATTAAAGCCTGTATTATGGTACCCAATCTGCTGATAAACTCATGAAGTAAGAGAAATTTGTAGAATAAGGTATTAAAAAAAACGACGGGTTGCACTCCGGGAGTGCCGGCAGAAGTGAAAACTTTAATATTAACGTTGTGCATTTTTTATATTTTGGAATGGTTAGGGAATAATTTTGCACGAATTGCTTTAATTATCAATATAAAAGTACTAACATTTATGTGGTAGAATGATTTATTGCGCTATCGTACACAAACATGACAATTTATATTACATTAAAAAGTTTATCTCTCAGAAAAACGAACATTCGCGCAAACGCCCTGCGCCGCCTAAACGAAACAGCGGGCGCAGGCATACATTTTCGCCGCGCCGTAGAAAGAGAGGGGGATACTTCCTCTCCTACGCTGCGCCGACTGTCTACTCTCCATTCGTCTTACGAATTTTCGATCAGGTCACGTGTCCTGACGCGAGTACAACATTTATTACCCATTACAAAAAAAGTGTACAACGCCGCTAAAGATATTTTCTCTTCAAAAACATCTATTGTTTATGAGATTTTGAGTAAACAAATTATATATGTAGGAAGTAATGACCTAATATCCTATAACTAATAACTAATAAACCTTAGTTCGCCTGTTTAAACGGTCATTTAATTCCAATATTTTTTCGTGTATACCTATTTTAGTAGAAAGCTAACACACAGGTAAATAACAAAAGTTTAAAAGTGCAAAAGCCAATTAGAATAATATACGTCAAACATGATATTTTTTTCTAACTACTGCATTACGAGTACGCTACAATGTGGCACAATATCTGGACGTAACTTTGAGTGGCGCGCAGCCGACTCGCGCAGCTTTTTGACACGCTGCGTCTTTGCGTACGATACGATAGCGGGGGGGGGGGGGGGGGTGAGGTACTGTTTGCACACCTACACACCGCGCTGCAAGAGCGCCTTAAACCACTACGCCATTCGTTCAGTCAAATTGAATCCCATAATATTATAATAAAAAAAACACAAAGGTTTTTTTTTTTAACACCGGTTTTTTTTATGGTACTATATAAGGGGACAAACGAGCAGACAGTCACCTGATGGTAAGGAACTTCCGCCGCCCATGGACATCTGCAACTCAAAAGTCACGAGTCCGTTGCCGCCCTTGGAGTCCCTCCCGCTCGAGTCAGCGGGAGGGGGGATTTGGGGTCCGGTAACCTCACTCACTCAGTGGAAGGCAACGAAAGAATTGTTTTTCACCGGTTTTCTGTGAGGTCGTGGTATCACTCCGGTCGAGCCGGCCCATTCGTGCCGAAACATGGCTCTCCCACGGCTTCTAAGATTATGTAGTATCATCAGTCCAGTTGAGCCAACCCATGTGAGCCGTGGGAGAGCCATACGCTCTCCCACGGTTTTCTTTTGCTTGTTAAAAATGTATTAATTTTACAATAGTTTAAAGTGAATGTATCCTAATTCCTTAGCATAATTTCCATTATGGTATCTTATTGGCATCCACAGGGTATCCATGAGCTCAAACAAAAATGAAATAAATAGGTTTCTAAATTTGTTACAGCGCCATCTGTCTAACCATAAAGTTAAGTTTAATTTGACATTTCTACTTTTAGCGACATCTTCATTCAGATTCTTAAAATGCTTATCATAAATTCAAAATACTTAGGTCCCATCACTTTTTTTAATACTCAACTACATATAAAAAGTGAGAATATAATTAAAAAAATACAAAATATAAGCATATTTTTGACAGTGAGATATTTTTGTTTAAAATAATTTACTACTCGTATATAGATGTCGCTATCTAAGAAGAAAAAATCTCATAGTTTTGTCTATTAGGCTATAGATGGCATACATCTTTTTTGAAAGTAGTATCTTGTAACATGAATTAGTTTTATCAATATCGTGTTATTCAGATTCATTTACGAATTATGCAATTAATGAGTCTTAAACTAGTAGAGTCTATTGGTAGTTGATACAGAAATAAAAAATAATCGCAAGGAAACATTTTATAAATTAGTTCGTCCCTGCTGCCGCCAGGGGTGCTGATAACAAATGCATTTACATATGGAAAAAAATATATAATAAGGAACCTAAATTCAGTTAAGAATGTAGTTTCACACAGTATGTCATTGATATTTCCATGATGACTGGTAAACAATTTAATTTAACCATAGAAATCAACCCTAATGTCTCACTTTTTTACACCGCCATCTAGTGTAAATCTAAAGAACTAACTAAGCATAAAAATACAAGACATCACTTTCCGAATAATTGCAAATGCAATTCAAAGTGCACCTTATTTCGCCCAAGGAAAAATCAAAATGATCTGACAATTTTAAATGATCAGTGTACTAAATGTAATAAATCGTTTCATACAAGGTATTTTATATAATACAAGCTTTTGCCCGCATCTCCGCCCGTTTGTCGCTTGTCGCGGTAAAAAGTAGCCTATGTTACTTGCGAAAACTGTAGCTTTACATTGGTAAAAGAATTTTTAAGAATCGAGCAAATTCTTATTAATATACTTATGGAAGTATTGATTATAAATTAATAATTATATCGCTATTTTTTCTTATAAGTATGTTTATCAGCAGTCTGGTTACGATAGTACTAGCTCTGCCTAGTTAGGGATCAGACGGCCGTGTGTGAGATGGGTGGGGTATATAATACTTTTAAACGAGCAATTCTTGTATATATGTATATTTATACAGGGTGTAAGGGACCGCAGAACGACCTCCGTCCTCCATAAGCGCAGGCCTGGGGGTGACAGAAGCAGGCCGGGGTGGCGGCAAGCGAGTTGCGAAGCGCGCTCGCTTCCAGGGAGCACCGGGAACATGGGGTTCCCACACGGGTGGGGTCGTCTACTCGTCTGTAGATGACCCGAGGTATGTCGGGGTACCAGGGACTTCCTTTCTAGGGTATACCTGGTTCCCCGGCTATTAATACCCGAGACGGCGTGCGGTTTTAGTCGGTTCGAGTCCGACATGCCTTTTCCGCAAGGAAAAAAAAAAAAAAAAAAAAGGGTGTAAGGGACATCGTAACGAATACTGAAATATTATATTCAGACCATGATTCTCAGTCGAAAATCATTTCCGATCTACTGTCGGCTACAAATGACATAAAAGGTATTCTCGTAGTTTACTACTACTAAGACTAGTCTAGTCATAACTAAGACTAGCGGAATACCGAGTCAACTTTTGGTC